GAGTGGAAGAAATAATCACATGGAGTGAGGTGGTTTTGCACCCGATGTTTGTAACAAAAAAATGAATTCAATTTTGTTCCCATTGAACAAAAGGCAAAGGAAGACGGGGAGGGAGCCCGGGAAGCGGCCGCACATGGGCTCTTCCCAGCCACGCGCTCAGGAGCTCTGGAACCCAAGGGAAGCAGTCACTAAACAGGGAGGCGTTCTTCCTGTGCCTCGCCTGCCCCAGAGGATGATGGGAGCGCAACCCAGTGTCGGGACTCTTCAGTCAAGTCTTGTTTCCCTCCAGGATGAGAAACGCCCCAACCAGGGCATCCTCCGCTGTGCTTGTGTGGACTTACCCTCCCCAAGGCGGCCCAGCCTGCCCAGCTTCTGGCCACGTGGAATATGATGGGGCAGCCCCCAGCCCCAGGGCCAGGCTCACAGAACCACAGGAGAGCACCAAGTGGAGAGAAACTGGTGCCACCAAGAGACGCGGTGAACTTGAGCTGTTGGCTGCTGCTCCCTGTGGAGCCACACCAGGGCGCTGAGTTTTGTTTTTGCTTTTTTAAGTAGAACATTGGAGTGCAGTGAATGTAACAGTCAAGTGGTCATTATCCTCCTGGCGAAGGATTGCACGGTGGACCTAACTGTGCTGAACGCTAAAGGACTGGCGGCTCAGTGCGTCTGCTCACCCCAGGACAGCAGGAAGCTGTGACATCACTAGGCAATCTCATGGGACCACGGATACCCGAGTCTTGGGATGCAGCGAATGACTGAGTATCATTTCACATTTGCTGGTCAAGGTGTACAATAGCCTGAAGTTCTGAACAATAGTCTCTGCAGTATTTTTCATTTAGTACTTAGGGTGACTCACTGTGACTGCCTTCCCTGGAACCCACAGAGTTCCCTGAGCGTGCTATTTCTTACGTGCCCTTAATGCAGTCTTTGATGAGTCATATGTTTGTGCTGCACCCAGAGGGTGCCATTCCCACACTGTGCAGCAGGAGGCCTGTTGGTTGGAGTACGTGGACGGACAATGTAGCTGGGTATAAAATTTCCAGTCTAGTCTTTCCCTAAAATTCAAGTCATGTTTACTTTTCTCTCAGTATTAAGAATTGTGTCGATTCTCTTAATTTTCCCTCACTCTTAATCTCCTCATTTGATGTATCTATATATCTTTTTCTGAGATGATTCATGAGTGACTTGTTCTCTGTGCTATCCCAGCCATTTCCCCGTCCCACCTTCCAGCCTCTGCCACCGCCCTCTGAAGAAAACATTAAAATGTGAAGAGCCGCTGCCAACGCTTCCTACCGAAGAATCCTCCTGCCACTGCACACAGCAATGGAGCCATCTCTAGTCCCACTGCCGTCCTCAGGATGCTCCTGCCCAGGTCCCTGCGCCCCTGAGCTGCGATCTGCCGGCTTGTGACCTGGCTCCTGGTTATGGTGTAAATGGGTTCAGACAAAGTGATATGATTTGGCTCACGTGCTGCAGGCCTGGCTCCCGGCCTGGTGCTGGTGGGAGGAGGTGGGACCTTCAGAAGGTGGGAGGAAGGTCACTGGAGGTCCACCCTGGGGGCATCTCGTCCCTGGCCCCTCCTGTCTTCCTCTCTTGCTTTTTGTGCCGCCACCACCATGAGGTTCTTCCTCACCAAAGCCATGGGCCAAGACACCATGGATTAGAACGTGACCAGAATAAACCCTCCCTCCTTCAGGTTGATTTTCCCAAGTATGGTCGTCACAGAGACGGGAGCCTGGCCAGCACGGAGGGCTTCCTCTCTGTTGCTCCAGTGCCTCACAGGCCCTGACAGAGGCCATGCGGCGTGCCCATGCTCAGCAGAGGACTCCTCGCAGCTGCACCAATCCTGCTGGCCTCCTCTTGGTCACCACCCTCCTGAGCTGACAGCAGCAGCCCCACCCTGCACTCGTCCCTGGGCCTGCTTTACCTATGTCCACTCCTGTGTTAGAACAGCACAGTCGGCCTCACCCTCCCACACACCTGGAAGCCCAGGCCAGCAGCTAGACAGTGGGAAGCCACAGGTTAGGCACAGGGTGGTGAAGGAGAGACCCCCCACAGCAGGGAAGGAGAGGGGAGTGGTCTGAGCTTTGGCTCTGGCTGGCCAAAGGAGCAGCGGTGCCTCGTGGGCTTCAGCTTCTCCTCGTGCCACGCCAGGCCTTCAGCATCCCCAGGGCCAGGAGGACGTGGACTTTCTTCCTCTGAAGCCACAGGCACTCTTCCTGCATTGGTCAAAATGACGCACCCTGGGTGAAGGGCTGCCAGTCTCCCAATGCCCATGTCCACCCTGGCCGCTTCCTGTGCCCTCTTCCTCCCTGCATGTTACTGTGGAGGCTTCCAGGCCTGGCTGGGTCAAGGTTGAGCCTGGACACCAAAAACAAGCGAAGGTGCAGACGAGGAAGGAATGACAGGGCCACTCAGGTCTGAGGGAGCAGAGGGCTGGCCAGGCCAAGGCCTCGGGACCTTCACTCCCTGCAGGACCACAGGTCTGAGGGAGAGGGGGCTGGCCAGGCCAAGGCCCCAGGACCACCACTCCCTGCAGGGCCACAGGTCTGAGGGAGAGGGGGCTGGCCAGGCCAAGGCCTCAGGACCCTCACTCCCTGCAGGGCCACAGGTCTGAGGGAGCAGAGGGCTGGCCAGGCCAGAGGCTCAGGACCACCACCCCCTGCAGACTCCACATCCATCTGAGCGGAGCTGCCTTCCCCTTCACACCTGAGCAGTGGTACAGGCCACAGAGGAACTAGGGGGAGCCCAGGCTGGGGAGGAGGGAGGGAGCGGGCAGCCCCAAGTGCCCTAAAGCAGAAGAGCCCCTCAGCCCCGAGTCCAGCTGGGGTTGGGGACACTCTGTGAAAACATGCCCCACCTGCATGCCCACCCTGCAGTCCAAACCTTGCTTCATGCCCCAGAAGCCTCCAGGGCCGCTGAGCCCACCCCATGTCCCAGAGACCCTGCCCCCTCCCCTGACACCGTCCCACACTGTGGGAACTGGGCCTGCACTGAGCTCCCTGCAGGAGACCATGCTGGAGGAGAAGGGCTGCTTCCTGGTTGGTTGTCCAGGGAGGGCCCACAGCCTGGCTCCCTGCACGGCACCAGGTTTTCCCGTTCCCTGCTCCTGCATCAGCAGGGTTGCCCCTCAGCACCCAGAGAGCAGCAGGCTTCCAGCGTGGAGCCTTCCGCTGCACCCTGTACTAGCGGGGTGATGCCCCAGATGGGTGCTCCCCTCCCTGCCCCAGCCCCTGCCCCAGCCCACTCCTCCCACCTCTGGCCACGTTG